CCACGAGCTGGAAGTTGGGGCCTCCGGAGGCCCTCGCGCCAGGGGCCCCAAGAAGCTGGGAAACTTGGGGATCTGCTGTTAGGGAACCCAGAAGTCAGCTGCCCACCCCTGCTGGAAACGCCCTGGACTCTGAGAACGTAGAGTCCAGTGTTCATGGGATCCCCAAACCATCCCCTACCCCACTTTCGGACACCAAGTTTGGCCTCTGGGGACCTGGCATGGCAAACCTGGGAGGGTAGACCTTGAGGGGAAATGTGGGACTCAGGCCTCCAGCCCCTCCCTTCTCAGTCCCAAACACCCTAATCTTGGCCTTTCGCTGGTGGGAATGGACGAACTCTATGGAATGGCTCCCAAAGGGGTTGTAAGGATACCCTGGAGTCTGATCCATGGCAGCAGGTGAGAGACTCTGATGGCTGCCCAGAGCACACTGGAAGCCAGTAAAGCGGAAGGTACAGTAAAACTCCACTTATGCAGGGCACCAGCATGAGGACTGTTGAGGGGAAAGAAAGAGGTCTAGGGTGAAAAGTCCTATCCTAGTCACCTTACCTCCCACCTAGACCTAGATTCGACCTGGGAGCAGTGAGGGCAGGGCATGGGAGGAGAACTCCTCATGGCCCATAGGAAGGGGTGAAGTTGCCTGGGTGACTGGGAGACTGCCCTCCTTCCCACTCTAGGAGGGCCTCCATAGCAGTGTGCTAGGCGGGGGGAGGGGGGGGGTCCTCCACCTGCTTTTCCCACCAGCGATTTTGGGCCAGCTCTGCCCTCAGCTACAGGCTGCTCATCTGTATCCTGAGGTCAGTGGCTGACCCTTTGCTTTCCCTCTCTCCTTTAGGTGAAGGCAAAGCCCCTGGACTGGCCAGACGTCCCCTTGTAGCCCTGGTAGAGTCAAGATGAGGTCCCATCATGCCCCTCAGTGAGGCCTGCAGCCTGAGCAGATAGCATGGCCTGCCACTGGAGGTGAACACCATGGCTACTGGAGGTGGCCGAGCCTTTGCTTGGCAGGTGTTCCCCCCCATGCCCACCTGCCGGGTATATGGCACAGTGGCATACCAGGATGGGAACCTGCTAGTGTTGGGGGGCTGTGGCCGGGCTGGACTGCCCCTGAACACTGCTGAGACACTGGACATGGTCTCGCATACATGGCTGGCACTGGCGCCCCTGCCCACTGCCCGGGCTGGTGCAGCTGCTGTGGTACTGGGCAAGCAGGTGCTAGTAGTGGGCGGTGTGGATGAAGGCCAGAGCCCAGTAGCTGCTGTGGAGGCCTTTCTGGCTGACGAGGGCCGCTGGGAGCGCCGGGCCACCCTCCCTCAGGCAGCCATGGGGGTTGCGACTGTGGAGAGAGGTGAGTGACCTCCCCAGGAAGGTCCTTCAGGTGCTCCAACACTCTCCATTCTTTCCTGATTTGGTCCCTTACCTTCCAAGATTCAGCAAGTGCTGTAAATTTTACCTAGGTGCCCTGGACATGGCTTTCCCCCTGTATTCTTCCCTACCTAGCTTTGAGCTGGGCTGGCAGCAGCCTTAACTGCCTTTTCCAGCTGTGAGGTGGGAGGCAGAGCCCAGGCTAGTCCCCAGCATGATGGGAGGCCCCACCCACCTCCCTCCCCTATTCCTTCTCTCCAAGAGTCAAGGAGGGGTGGCCCAATGACTCCCACAGTTATAAATAGTCTGGGAGAGGGGGAGGGGAGCAGGGCCCTGGCTCAGAGCCTGGCAAATGCTTAGATTCCTCGTACCACACACACAAATCAGTGAGCCTGAGAAGGACAAAGGCCAAGCTGGCCCGGGGACAGTTGCCATGGAAGCCCATCTCCCTAAGGCCCCCAGCTGACTCTGAGGGCATAACAGAATAAGAACCTACTCTAGTGAAAGAGCAGGGCACAGAGGTGCTGACAGGACTCCAGGGCAGAAGGCCTGTGGACAGTACCCCCATCCCACAGGCCCAAGCCCCTCTCCCAACCCTGCAGCTGACCCTCAGAGCCCCCTCCCCAGTCGCAGCTCCATGCTGAACGGATCTCCATATGGCCCTTACTCCTGGCTTAAACCATTCTCCACCCTCCTTCCCCCATGAGAGTCCCCACCTTGTGGTCTCCAGGTCTGACCACCCGGCCCTGCTTGAATGCCAGATTTGGTTGCCATAGCGTCTCCAGGGAGACGGAGACGGATTATAATTAGATCTGCTGCCTCCTGCTCTTCACTTGGAGGGGCCCTGGCCAGAGTGGGAATCCTAGCTCTCCCAGCCTCCCAGGAGGGTTTCTGCTGCTGGAGAAGAGTACTATAAACATGTGTCCCAAACCACCCCCCACCTGATCAGGGCAATTGTCAGGATGGGGTGTCCTGGCCAGGCTTGGATAGAGTGTGAATTACTCTTTTCTATGCAGATGGTATGGTGTATGCTCTGGGGGGAATGGGCCCTGATACGGCTCCCCAGGCCCAGGTTCGGGTGTATGAACCCAGACGGGACTGCTGGCTTTCACTACCCTCAATGCCAACACCCTGCTATGGGGCCTCCACATTTCTGCATGGGAACAAGATCTATGTCTTGGGTAAGGACCTGGGGGATTTGGGAAAGGAAATGAAGTCCAGAAGCACCTATCCCTGTGGAGTGGTTGGGATTAAGCTTGGTTTGGGATGGTGGAACAAGAGAAGCTTTGTTGGGTTGAGCCAGGGTTGCTCTGAGGCTCTGACCTCTGGTGGTCTGCTGGGGCTGGAAAGCCAAACCCCACTACCTGAGGACCTTTGGGGTGGGTGATCCATGCTCTGGTGTGCACACAGCTGGGTATGGGTGGCTGGGGTTGGCAGTGGTAAAGGCTCAGCAACCTGGTAAAGGAAGAGCCTGCTAGAGCCCCTGGGCTGCTTCCTAGGTCCCCCAATTCCATTGGCAGGGGGCCGCCAGGGCAAGCTCCCAGTGACTGCTTTTGAGGCCTTTGATCTGGAGGCCCGTACCTGGACCCGACACCCAAGCCTGCCTAGCCGCCGGGCCTTTGCTGGTTGCGCCATGGCCGAAGGCAGCGTCTTTAGCATGGGTGGCCTGCAGCAGCCTGGGCCCCACAATTTCTACTCCCGCCCACACTTTGTCAACACTGTGGAGATGTTTGACCTGGAGCATGGTAAGCAGTGGCTGGTCTGGGCAATCTTTCCACTTTTGGGGATGGAAGGGTACAGTGTGTGTGTCAGGGGGTTGATCTGACCTTCCCTGTCCTGTAGGGTCCTGGACCAAGCTGCCCCGAAGCCTGCGCATGAGGGATAAGAGGGCCGACTTTGTGGTTGGCTCCCTTGGGGACCATATCGTGGCCATTGGGGGCCTAGGTGAGTCTCTGATGGACTAGGTATGTGAGGGGGATCCCAAGACAGGAAGGAAAGCCTCTCCTCCCTGCCCCACCTGGGCACCACCTCCTGCCCTTCTATAGGCACTCCAGGGGTCAGGGCTTTGTGAAATTCCCTTTCCCAATCTGTGAAGCAGGCAGCAGATGGTCTACCTGACTCAGCTCTTAGGGTGTCCCTCAGTGCCTAACTGGGTTCTGTACCAGCAGGGTCCTAGGAAACAGGAACAGGACAAATGACCACTGAATACTGGAGAAATAGAAATGTGAATGAATAAATGAACAAGAGATGAATGGGGGCAATGAATAACAGGCCACAGATAGCCCATCCTGGGGCGATGCATGCTGGGTCATGCTCTTGGTTCAGGGAGCAAAAGAGCTGTAGGCCCTGCAGCCTGTGCCCTTTACAACTTCTGTCTCCTTCCTGCAGGAAACCAGCCGTGCCCTCTAGGCTCTGTGGAGGGCTTCAGCCTAACACGGCGGCGCTGGGAGGCACTGCCTGCCATGCCTACGGCCCGCTGCTCCTGTTCTAGTCTGCAGGCTGGGCCCCGGCTGTTTGCCATCGGGGGTGTGGCCCAGGGTCCCAGTCAAGCTGTGGAGGCATTGTGTCTGCGTGATGGAGTCTGAATGCCTGATGGGACCTGTCCCCTGGAGCAGCTCAGTGCCAAAAGCAGATGCCTGTGGTTCCTTTTGCTGCCAAGGAAGCTCACTGTGGCTCTGTGGGATGAGGGAGGCACAGGGCGGGGCACTTGAGTCACTGCCTCAGGGATTTGGGGGTGGCTTTCTCATCTTTAGCGCAGGACATACATACGCTTATACCCACATTTACCCCCCCATTCATTCATGGACCATGCCCAGCTCCACCCTTGTTCTGGAACCTACTAGGCCCTCTGTCCAACTGGGAAGTAGGGGAAGGGAGAGCTGGTCTCGTACCACAGGGTCAGTGCCTACCTGGAGTTGAGTTGATCAGCCCCACCCCAATGGCTGTTCCTGAAAAATCCTGTCAGCCGGCCTTGAAGGCCCCTTTGGATCCAGGAGAGTTCAGAGAGGGTGGGAACACAGAGGGGTGGAGGGGTGGATGTAGGAACCTCCAGAGGGCCAGAAGAATGTTGGTTTTGGGCTCTTTACACTGCTGGCTGTGTGACTTTGGGCGAGTCATTTCACCTCTCTGTGCCTCAGCATCCTCATCTATAAATGAGGATCTCTGAAACCTTCCTGCCCTACCTACCTCACAGGGCTGTTGTGAGGACCTAGGGAGTTCAGATGTGGAAGTAAAAGTGCTGCTAAAATCTGGTATATAGCCCTTGGTGTGGACTCCTGTGTTGACCCTGCACCCTTGGCCCTCCTTTGGGCACCTTAACTCTCCCAAGGATGAGGGTCTAGAGGAGCCTTTAGGACCTGGCCTCTCCCAGAGTGTTCTGGTGTCTCAGCCCCACCTAAGCCTCAGTTTCTCTCTTGGTGACATAGGATGACCACCATCCCCCACTGCCCTGGGTGTTAGAGCACACTCACAGGAAGACCAGAGCTCAGAAAACTATAACAAAATGCCACACGGTCAGGATGACCTCCAGAGCCATGTTACACAGCATTTCCTCAAAGCCTCTGTTCATCTCCATAGGGAGAGGTGGTCCAGTGGAAGTCCAGCAGGGGCTGCTCCCTCTGTCCCAGCTGTGGGGAAGCTGTCTCTTAGGCAGGACTGTGTGGCCACTCACTAGATCCCTAGAGGCAGTGGCCTCCCAGAGAATGCAAAACTGCCGGCCCTTGCCTTCTCCTATGGTCTTTGCTGCCCACTAGTAGGGGCCATTGACTGTGCTTTCTCTGCCACCACACTGATTTCAAGGGGTTCACAGCTGGGTTTGCAGCAAGAATGGATTTGGGGTCCTGGAACCCACCCGCTGTGGCCAAAGTATCCCTCCGGGATCCTTAGCCTCCTGCAGGCCTTACCTCCTCTCACTCAGTGGCAGGGCTCCCAAGGCAGCATCTCCCCTGCCCAGCACAAGGTGTGTGGCACAGGCACCATAGGAGCAAGGCCTAGGGCCTGGCAGTGTCTTTCTCTAGCCTCTGAGATCCCTTGGGCTGCAAGCACAGACAGGCCACTGTGTCAGCTGTCCTTGTTTAATGTTCTGGACCAGTTTAGACACTCGGAGACCCCAGCATGAAGGTAATGCTGCAGCAGCTTGGGTCTTGGGGTCCCTGGGAGGTTAGGCAATGTGTCCGTGACCCGGGCCTGTGGCCCCATGTTGTCATTGCCACAGTGGCCACCCCGGGATGGCTGGCAGAAATTCTGCTGGTAAGTGGTGCAGATACGGGGAGGCTGGATCTGTGCAAAGTGGACAAGGCGCTGGGGGAGTTCACTGAGTCCTGGC